AGAGCCAAATCTCTCTCTCAGCACTTCGGCTTTGCCACCTAACAGAAATTAGCCTCTGACCTCCCTTTTCCAGGTCTCACCATCTGAACTACCAAACCACCTACCAAACCAAGCACCATGGACAAAAAGGCCAAGAGCCTGGGCAGCGAGGGGATGAATGAGTCCAGGATATTCACATGTGAGTCAACATTTCCAAACCTCGGAGCTCTCGTGCTAAGAGAAAGGGCTCGTAGTGGGCAGTGCGGTTGGGGATTCTTCCACTAGGAAGCAGAAGAGACAACCAGAAAGATGCTTCCGAGCTACAAGGGAGGCTGGAGGGGATCAGGAAGGGCTGGGGTGTGAAGAGAGAGGCCTGCCCCCAGCCTGCAAGAACTCAGGAGTCCTGCACGAACCAGGCTCCGCAGGAGTGCGAGAACGTTTACATCTTATCCCTCGCGCCCACACGGCCATACTCTATGTATTTATAGTCCCCTTTCTGCCCTAACAGATTGCTCCCCTCTAAGACATAAGCTATGAGCACTGGTACCCAACGTGGGAGGCCTCCGAAGGGAACCGGAAGTGAGAACCTCAGTTCCTCCAAGATGGAGCGCTAGGGAAGGGGCCCTCGCTTCTCTGAACCTGACTCCTCTCATCTGGCCCGTGACAGATGTTCAGAAGCATAGACTAACCTCAATGCAGAGGATCATCACATCGGGAAAGGGTCATGGGCAGAGATGAGACTGTTTATGTTCCATTCTAGAGCATATCACACTTAAATTCACAGAGTCTTAAAACGATGTGGGGACTGAGAGATGAGGTCCAGTCCTCTAACAGATGGGGAAGTTAAGTCCCAGATTAACTTGCCCAAGACCATGGATGTATGACAGCACAAACTCCAAAGCCAGTCTTCAGATATCTGAGGGAGGTGCTTATAGAAATACCCATCCCCTGTGGAACAGGACCAAAAAAAAAAAAAAAAAAAAAAAAAGGCTTTAAATTGCAAACAAAGGAACTCAGGGGAGACATAGGAAGATCCCGACTAGAAGAATGAGTAACGGAAGAAAACTGTGGGACAGCCTTCTCCGGATGGGGTCCTGCCCAGAGGCAGGGGATGTCTGAACGGATCTCCTCACCCCCAACCCTTCGCACGACCGTCCTCTTATTTGGGAGTCCGAAAGATTCAGGGTCCCTCTCCCAGAGCCAGGCGCCGTGGCCAGTGGCTGGGGAACTTGAGAGGCCAGTCCTACAACAGGTGCAACAGCTGGAGCCACTGAGCAGCTGTTGCCCGACTCTGGCTCAGCGCTAAGCAAGCGAGTGAGTGAGGCAGAGCCCTCTACTGGTGGGAGAGAGGAGGTGCAGAACTGCCCAGACAGACCTACAGAGGGCCTGCCTGGAGCCAGATGCCAGGCCTTCACTCAGGCACGCACCCCTTCCCCGGCCTGTACATCTGGACAGGTGGATGGAGATGTGATTAAGCTGAGCAGAAAAGCAGGGTCCCCACTGGCGAGTCTCCCTCTACACCCACTGCCCCATCCTCTCTAGGAACGATCTGAGGGTATCTACTCTACTCTTCCAAAACTCCCTTTCCTAAAGGTCTGAGGACACTCACAATCAAGGCAACGGCATCTTTGGATCTTAGCGCCTAAGGGTCACAGGATGTTAAAGCCAGGGTGGTCCTCAGTGATGATCAATGTGGGTCCAACCATCTAGCTTCCTAATTGGGGAAACTGAGGGGCAGAGAAAGGGAACTTGCCCTGTGTCACAGTTAGACTTGGTGGCAGAACCAGCGCTGGAGCCCTGGCCTTCTGACTCCACAGGAGCCCCCTTGCCACCCCGTCTCTGCTTCTGGGGTTTGGGATGATTCTGTCACCTGGGAACAGAAGCTTCAAGCCCCTCCCACAGCACAATAACCCACGGAGAAAGACTAGAGAGATCAATGTGTCTACTTCTTAACTGACTCTCCTGAAAGCAGGATCGAATTGAGAGAGAGGAGAAGCATGCTGAACCCCTTAGGGGGAGGGGCAATTTAGTAACGAAAGAGCACAAAAGAGAGGCGCTGATGGGGAGAGGGGATGAGAGCATGGGAGAGGGAGTCGGGATACCAGGCAGGTTCTCCTTCCTTAGAGGGATGAGTGCCCAACGTGATCCCTCTGCGTGCAGGCGACTCCACCCGGGACTGGAACCAGCACTGCTCAGTGACCAAGTCAGGGGTACGGAATTGGGGTTCAATCTGTGGCCACGGTTTGAGACCCAGTCTGGGCTGGGAAAAGGACTCAGTCTGTGGCTGGGGACTAGAGCTCAGGATAGAATAACCTTTGTCTGAGTAGCTGCCACGTGCGCTCACTGGCCCCTGGCGTTTGCAGGGCTGGGCCATGTCACGAGTCCACAGACGTGAGGATTTCCATCTGTTGGCACCACGTCCGAAGGCACCTGAGAGGTCCCCAAGGGGTTTCTTACCCACAACCGGCCTGCGATCTGACTTAAGCCAAGACAAGGACCTTCGTAAGGGACTTCACAGCCACTGACCAGTGACTTCAGGGTTGTTTCCGGATTCACACATTGTCCCCCGTAGACAAAATGAGGCTCAGAGGGGTGAAGTGATTTGTCCCGATTCATACAACCAGTAAGGGACAGGCCAGACACGACCAGCCGGGCTCTATTCTTCCCTTTAATCAATTTGCTGTGTGGCTGTGGGCAAGTCACCAACCCATGTTGGGGCTTAGTGTCACTGTAAGGATGGAAAACTGAGGGGTGGAAGCAGATGATTTTCAAAGGCTGTTCCACCTCTGACATCCGGGAATTGGAACACCTCACCTAACTCAGTAAGTCTGCTCTGTTATTTCCTGGGGGGGCGGCGGAGGGAGGGAGGGGGTACGGCTAAGCTCTAGGCTGCAGCAGAGACTGACCTCTGGCAGGTCCCAGCGAGAGGTCCGGAGCTGAAGGCCAGGGAAAGCACAGAGGAAGGGGGTCGGGGCGGGCCAGGTGGCCAGGGAGTTTTGCTAAAAGAGGGATGGATGCCTCAGCAAGGCGAAGGGCTGACAAGACATGGAAGGCCATGGGGAGTGCTGTGGGTTGGACATGAGCAACCTTGCAGAGTGACCTGATGCTAGGGCATCTTTCCATGTAAAGGTGACAATATCTGCAGAACCACCCCGGGGGCTACGGAGGATGTGCCAAGTGGGCGAGGCAGGCAGGGCAGGCATCCTGTGCTAAATCCCTCCGAAGGAACAACAGGGAAGTGTTAGGAGGAAACCTCCGGGGCCCAAGAAGGGGGAGGAGGCACGGACTGAGTGCGGGGCATTGTCCTGAGCCCTTTGGCACAGGCACCTTCTTTCATCCTCCCCAGAACCCGTTGGGTTCCAGGTGAGCATGTGCCTTGGGCAGATGAAGAGACAGAGTCTCAGAGAAGTTGTGATTTATGAAAGACACACCACTGCTAAGGGGCAGAGCCGGGACTTGAACCCAACACTGAGCTCTTTCCATGGCTTGTTACTGAGGATGACTAGGAAGCTCGTGCCGCTGGGGGCTCAGGGACAGCTGGACACGCAGAGACAAGAATGAAACACCATTCGGCCCCACAGACTCCAAAAGTCACATGGGAAAGACAGGCAGTAATGGGGAGCTGGGTCGTGGGGAGGAAAGGGCACAGGTGGGGAACTGGGTCTCCATCCTGGCTCTGCCCTATCTAAGCTGGAGTAAGTCACTGCCCTCTCGGGCCTCAGCTCCTTCCCTGGGTACTGCAGGATTTGAATTAAGTTCCTTCTTTCTCATTAAGAGAATCTTTGGCTCTGTTTTACATCTTCATGGCATTCTAAGAGATTGGCAAGGGATGGGGTGAGAGGTCCACCAGCCTATTCGGGGACAGTGAGGAACCTGAGGTTCAGAGATCAGATAGACTGTATCCAAGTAGAAAAGCATGGATCGGAGGACTGACATACTGAAAGAACCTACCACATGCCAATGAGTTGCTTTACACGTTTTTGTTTTTCTAACTTAATCCTCTCATCAGTTCTGGGTTTTTATTTTTTATTTTTTTACTCCCATTTTATAGGTTAAGAAACTGAGGTTCAGGGAGATGCCCTCCTTGCCTGCCTCCCACCAGCTGGTATTTAGGTATCTGGGATAGTGAAGACTGGCTTCTCTCGCTGTGCCTGCCGCCTCCCAGGCTCTCACAAGTCCAACGCAGCTCCTCCCAGACCCCGGGGGCAGGGGAAGGCACAGCTCTGGCTTGGATGGCTTGCTAGCTCTGCACACTGGAGCGAGTTTCCCCTCTCAGCCTAAGTTTTCTCATCTGTAAAATGCAAATGAGACCCACCTCCTGGGAGTGTTGTGAGGATGAAGAGCAAGAGCAGAAGGGAAAGGTTATCCTAGTTAGCTCTTCTTTCTTCCCACCAGCTCTCTATTTCATTTAAAAAAAAAAATTATTTGTATTGATTTCAGAGAGGAAGGAAGAGGGAGAAAGATAGAAACATCCGTGATGAGGAAGACTCATTGATTGGCTGCTTCCTGCACGCCCCCTACTGGGTTGGAGCCTGAAATCCCGGGCTGTCTAACCTGGGACCCTTCAGTCCGCAGGCTGATGCTCTACCCACTGGGCCAAACCGGCTAGGGCCCACCAGCTCTCCTTAACTCTTAGAAGCTTTTTCCTCTTCATTACATCAAACACAGGGGACTACGCTAGGAACAAGTGTCCCCCGCCTCCATCCTCCAAACACAATGGCCAGCCCTCTCTCAGGCTTCTCCCAGCCCTCCATTCTCAGATCCAGGACAGCAGCCCCCGCGGCTCTGCCTTTTGCCAAGTCCCCTCTTCCCCTCCCACCCCCACTCCCACCCTCAGGCTCCCAGGCATCAGCCCATACCTGTCCGCGGAGGAGCGCCACCCCTCCGGCACAGGTGTTGCCCGGGTGCCAGGCACAAGCCTTTGGGGTCCCCCCAGTCCTGGCACTTTCTCCCCGCACATCCCGGGGGGGGCTCGCACCCCTCCTCTGCCCACCGAGTGCCTCCACCCACGCGCTACTTACGGGCTCGAGCGTGGGAGTCCAGGGGGAGCCAGAGCAGCGCGAGTCCCAGCAAGGAGGAGAGGACCCTTCCCTCGGGAACCATCCTTCCTTCCCCCGGGGCCGGGCCGCCAGGTGCGGGGCCGGCGCGGGCGGCGGAGGCGGCGAGAGGAGAGGGACCCCGGGGCACCGGGGCACAGGGGCACCGGGGCTCAAAGCAACCGCAGACCCGGCGGGGCTTCCTCTACAGCGGAGAGGCAGACAGGGGTCCCAAAGAGATGCCCAGGGTGGGAATAGGAGGGAGGCGGAGAGAGGAGAGGGGACCCCGGGGCACAAAGCGACCGGCAGACCCGGCGGGAGAGGCAGCCAGGGGCGAGGAGGAGACGGCGGGGACCCGGGGGGATGCCCAAGGTGGGAACAGGAGGGAGGCGGAGAGAGGACAGGAGGGCTGGAGGCAGGAGACGGGGAGATGGGGCAGGGATGCCGGAGGGGAAGCACAGCCCCGGCGGCGGGGAAGGTGAGGCGGAGACGCGGAGGAGAAAGCCGGGAGCGGACCGGGGTCCGCAGGGCGCGCGGCGCGGGGCGAGGCGCGCGGGGCCGGAGGGCTGCCCGGGGCGCGGCGGGGGCGAGGCTGCCGGCGCCCCCCGCTCCGGGGGCTCGGGGTCGGGCGGCGGGGCGGCGGGGGCTGGAGGTCGGGCGGCGGGGTGCCGGGGGCCGGCGGGGCGGCGGGGCCGGCGGCGGAGACGGCGGGCGCGGCGGCCGCGGGGCAGGCTGCGCGGGGCCGGCGGTGCTCGCCAGGGGCGCCAGGCGCCGCGCTCGGGCGCATTTGTACTTTGCCGCGGGAAGCAGCAGCCCGGCCTGGCGCTGGCCTGGCGCTGGCGCCTCCTCCGGGGCACCGCGGGCTCGGTGGATTGGCCGCCCGAGGAACAGGCCCACTTTCCCCCTCCTCCCCCCTCCTCCCGCGTGCGGGTCTCCCGGACGGAGGACGCTCCAGGCGCGGCGCCGGGAGGAGGCAGGCGAGGGGGCTGGGGAGGGGGAAGGGGCCACCGGGGCCAGGGGCTTTAACCCCTGACTTCCCGCGACGCCCCGAGTGCAGGGGAGCGAAAGGCACACGGGCTTCTGGTGGAAGAACTTTCGGGGGAGGGAGGGGGGAGGGAGAGAGGCGCTCAGGTGGGCGAGCTCGGTGCGTGCACAGAGCTCGGGCTCTCAGCAGATTCAGTACACTTGCTATTTCTTCTTAATGATGTTTGCAGTACTGTCTGCTCCACCCCAGAGCCTGTTTCCCATCTCCGAAGTGGGGATCTTAACAGATGTCATAGTTTAATAGCTTCCCACAATTGTTTTTGCTCCGTCCGACTCACCAGGGCCAACGACCCTGCACTTTACCAACGAAGTGAACTGAGAAAAATGAATGTCACAGCACTCCCATCTGAAAGAGGAAAGGCCCTAATTCAGGGAGCCTGCAATACCCTTACCAGCTAGCTTCCCGCCTCCCCACACAATCCTGGCCAGGCTGAGCCCAGCACCGCTGGGTCCTCGACACTCCCTCTGGCAGTCCCCTTTGTCCCTATTCCATTCCCAACCCCTCCGGACACTCTGGGGTAACCTCTCCTTCGCCTCCACATGAAGGCCTGCCCCTCTCCCAGAGTGCTGGCCATGCTCGGCCCTCCTCAGGAAGGGCTGGTTGTCAAAAGTGCTGACTGACTCCCCCCCCTCCCCCCTCTTCCCCCCCCCCCCCCCCCACTGTGGCTGGTGCTTACCTGGTGCTGAAGGAGTACTGGAGTTGGTAGGATCCTAGGAAGAGAACCACCAGCTCCATCCAGACAAGGAGCACGCAGACTCTGAAATCCAAAGGGCAGGGTCCTTCCCTGGGCGCTCTCCCTCACTGGCTGGGCCGTGTTGGGTATATGCATCCATTCCTGCTTTGGACCTCAGCTTCCTGCCCAGCTCCTCTGGCAGAGCTGCTGGAGACTCCAACGAGAGCTGGAGAGAGGAGCCAGAAATGATAGGGGATGCTGAACCACACAACCCACTCCGGTAGGGAATCCCATTTCCAGGTTGAAACACTCCTGACTGGCTGCCGGTGAAGATACCTTCCTGTTCTGAGGTTGGGATCCCCCCTCAGAACAGAGAGGAGGATGCTAGTCTGCCCCCTCCAGAACAGATTGGCCCTGGGGGCAACCAGTGGCCCCAGAAACAGAGCTTCCTTGGGGCTGTCAGAACCAGGGACAACATGATCTGTCTCCCCAGTGCCCTTCAGGCTTAACTCCTATTCCAGCCTGGCCTCTCCATTGAGTATACTGTGTATGCTAGTGGATGGCACACTCATTAGTCAACAGAGCCAAATATCAACAGTACAACGATTGAAATTTCTTTTGAGAGCCCAGAAACCGACTTCTGCGCATGGGCCATGAAGTTTCAATGGCACAGTACATCCGCGCCCACACGTGGTGTTTTGTGGAAGAGCCACACTCATGGGGCCAAAGAGCCACATGTGGCTCATGAGCCGAAGTTTGCCGACCACTGGTGTATACCATCAAGCTTCCTTTTTTGTCTTGTCTTTCAGGGAGTTCAAGAGTTAAATTTAGCCCTGACCCGGTCCAGTCACTCAGGGGTAAGAGCATCAGCCTGCACAAGGAAGGGTCACAGTTGGATTCCAGGTCAAGGGCATGTACCTGGGTTCCAGGTTCCATCAGCATATGGGAGACAACCAACAGATGTGCCTCTCTCACATCAATGCTAATCTCTCTCTCTCCTCTTTCCCTCCCTTCTACTCTCTCTAAAAATCAACAGAAACAATATTCTCAGGTGAGGATTAACAACAACAACAGAGTTAAATTTAGGGCTTACTTGCAGAAATAATCTCATCCCAAGGATCTGGGACACAGATCTTTTCCTTTCTCCGGGTTGTTGTCATATCTTCAGTTCTTAGATGTAAGAGGTGGATTAAGATGGGCCTCCCCTACATCCTGCTCATTCTACTGCAGGAAGGGTCTCTGCCCAACTCTCCATCCTTATTGCCCTAGAGTTCAAGCCATCATCATCCTTTACTGACTTTCCCAACAGCCTTTTAACATGTCTTCTGCCCCTCGTCTTGGCCCCTCCAATCTATTTTTCTTGCACCTGCCATAATAATTATGTTGATCGTTTCCACCAGCAATCACTTTTCCATCAATGGAAATAAAAGTAAATAGTATTAAAAATGCAATGTGGCATCCTGATTGGGACAGTGAAAGGACATCAGTGGGAGAACTGGTGAATGAAATCTGTATTTTAGTTAATGGTAATGTACCAACGCAGGTATTTTAGTCTTGACACATGTGCCATGGCTATGCAAGATGCTAACTTCGGGGGAAGCAGGCAAAAGATACACAGGGTGGGAACAAGAGTAGGTTTTCCGTTGTTCGTATGAAATATAATACAATAATTAATAAATAATGCAAGAATAGACTGTTTTGCATACTCACAGCTGCAAACCTATTTTTACCCCCACCCTGTATGGTTCTGGGATAAGAACCCTGTACTCTCTTTACGACTTTCCGTCAATCTAAAACTCTTCCAAAATAAAAATTTTAAGTGAATAAACAACAGAAGAAAACATCCTCGGCCTGCTATGACTTCCATGTTAGAGGAAAACAACCTCTCTGGCCACCGTGTGGCTCAGTTGGTTGGAGCATTACTCCCCCCCCCCCCCCCCCCAGCACCAAAAGGCTTTGAGTTTGATTCCAGGTCAGGGCACATACCCAGATTGCCCTGGTTAGGGCAAGTGAGGGAGGCAACCGATTGATCGATTGATCGATTCTCTCTCTCTCTCTCTCTCTTTTTCCTCCTTCTCTCTTTTCCCCTTCCTCTCTCTCTAAAAAAATCAATAAAAGCATGTAAAAAAGCTAACAAACAAATCATCAGCACTGGGTTAAAAATGCACAAATTTGGCTCCTCTTTACCATCACCACCCATCCTACCATGTACAAGCCATTCACCGCCCCAAACGGCATCTCATTTCCATGCCTCCATAGCTTCCTGTGCTTTCCTTCTGCCTGACTTTCTCCTCCTTCATTAGGTGAATCCCTTTTTACTCTTCAAAGTCAACTCTCTTCCTCCCCCTCCACCCTCCTTCTATTCCACTCTGGCAAAGGGGGTCCAATACAAGGAGCCTAGACTTTGGGTCAGCTCTGAGTCGCTTCCTCTTTGAGGCCTTCTCTGGATCCCCTTAGCAAAGTGATTTTTTTTGGTACCATTTTGTATTGTAGCTACTGGAGTGTAAATATTTATTTGCATTTCTACTCTGCACTGTGAGAGCAGGGGTCTCTTTCACTTCTATCTATACTTCCAGCACTTAGCAAAGTCCCTGATACACAAAGATACCGAATGAATAATTGCTTCATGAATGAGTGTAGACCTCAGTGGTTTGAAAGATATTGTTCTTTCATGGGAGGGCTTACAGCACCCCCATTGCCTTCAGTTTTAATTTATGATTGATGTGAATAAGCACTTGAGGAAAGTTTCTGTGTCTCCTATAGAATTGCTGTTGAAGATGGTTTTCCACATGTTATCTCATAGCCTTTAAGCAATACTATTTGATAAATTCTTCCAAAAAATTTTATCTATGCATAGCCATTTATTGCACCAGGTTTGTCTGGGACGGCTTGCTTCCCCCTTGGGGGACTCACTCATTGCCTTCCCAGGCAGCCCAGAGCACTGTTGGACAGCTCTGCTAAAAAGTTAGCTGAAATCTGATTCTCTTGGATTCCCCGCCTCTGCCCCAGCTCTGTCCCCAGGGCTGCACACAGCAAGCCAACCCCTTCTGTCTTTTGAGGGCTCTGCAGAGATGTGAGGCAGAGAACCCCTCTTCCGTATTCTACTCCTTCCCCGTTCAAGTCCTTGGACCCTTCATGCCACATTAAGTTCTCTCTTTCTTCAAATGTGTGAGTTCTTTTGCTTGCACTCACCTACTCTAAAGTGAGTTCCTGGAGAACACAGACTACTATTGATCTAATATCTTCCCTAGTCTTCAGCACACAGCTTTGCACACGGTAGCTACTAAATAAAGGTTTGTTGAAAAATGTCCTTGTTCCTTCAAATAGTCCTCTTGAGACATATTATTTG